AATAACAGTATTATTGGTTTAACTTTTAATGTCAATTTTACACTTTCTTCTGACCTAGGCTTCCTTAGAAAGCATAAAACACAATCTTAGTCCTGGCAAAACCTCTTTTATTTCCATGGCTGTGAATTATGTTCATTCACAGCCTGCAAGGCTTCACAAACAGTCTTTCAGGGGAATGTTTATAAACACCCACCTTATCGCACTTGGAATGCAGCCAGAGAACTAATTGCCAGATGCAGGGCAAGGCCAAACTTGACACAGAGTCAAACAGAACTTTTCAAAGCTTGAATCGACCAGTTGAACTAATTGCTTCCTGAAAAAGCTCACATCCCATTAGCTTCTCTTTTATGTCCTATGGGAGGGGCCAATCATCTCCGAGGTGTGGCCTTACTCCTGAATTGACCCTGGTTTCTTCTGGTAGCCCTGCTGGGAACCAGTTCCAGAAACTCCCCCACGTCACTGCTGTCTGAGCCCGAAAGCAGCTGATGACTGCCAGTCTGCCCAGGCCCCATCTCTGCCTCTGATGCAGAGCCCTCGTCCGAGCCTTCCTCAGCCTCCAGGACTGGCCCAGATTCTTCCCCAACCTCCTCACTACTGTCTGACTGCTGCCAGCTCCATCAGCTGCTGGTAGGCCACAGCACACTTTATGCTAGTCAGACTAACGGTCTATGTGCATTTGTGTGTGCATGCACACACATGTACCATTTTCAAAACCAGAGCATGAGGTAGATATTGTCTCTGCCATTTTAAACAGAGACTAAAATCTGGTTCATGTTAATCAAAGGTAAAAGTGAAGGTTTCCCTGTCGGTCATGTCCAAATCTACAGCATGGTGCTCATCTCCATTTCTTAGCCAAGGGAGCCGGCATTGTTTGGAAACATTTCCGTGATCCTGTGGCACATGGTCGGAACCCTGTTACCTTCCCACCAAAAGGGTACCTGTTTATCTACTTACGTTTGCATGCTTTTGGACTGTTAGGTTGGCAGTTCATGTTCATGGATTCCCCCAATCCCAAGACATTTCAGCACACTATGATACACAGCCAATGCCTGTGACTAGAGTGGGATTTATCCTCCCTCAGCTCAATGGGACAAGAACTGTGGCTTAACTTTACTAACTTCTTCTTTTACAAGGGGGTTGGTTCCAACAATCGAGCTTCCTCCCACTTCCTCGTTTTTTTAATCATATCTGATGAAGGAGTTGTGGGCCACTCAAAAGCTTGTTTGCCATTTTATAGAAATTTGGGTGTTAGTGATAGGTAAAGGTAAAGGTTCCCCTTACCCATATCATTCCTGGCTCTAGGGGATGGTGCTCATGTCCATTACAAAGCCAGAGAGCCAGCACTGCTGAAGTTGTCTCCGGCTGGCATGACTAAACGCCGAAGGCGCATGGAACACTGTTACCTTCCCACCAAAGTGTTGGGAAGTATTTTTCTACTTGCATTTGTTTTACATGCTTTTGAACTGCTAGGTTGGTGGAAGCTGGGACAAGTAATGGGAGCTCACTCTGTTATGCGGCGCTAGGGATTTGAACCACTGGACTGTTGACCTTTCTGATCGACAAGCTCAGCTTCTTAGCCCCTGAGCCACCACGTCCCTACAAATATGTTACTGATAGGAGATGTTAAAATCTGTCTAACCCACCATTGTGCCTTCCTTCCTTCCTTCCTTCCTTCGTTTGTCATCATATTCTTGAGCCCACCTAAGGGAACAGAGATATCTTACCTCTGGTGGCGACCAATGGAACCAAGCTAAGGTTTGACTTCTTGGTCCAACGTTCCACAACCTTGCACCCTTCCAGATGTGCTGACGCCCTAAAGTCCAGGTGTCCCAACTGATATGTGTCCTAGCCATGCAATTTTGAGTATTGCAAGGTGGCGTCCAATGGGACACAAGAGACACCCACTTGCTGAATGCAGCATTGAATGTTGAAAATGTCACATGCAAAACTGCATGTTGTCTTATTAAACCAGGGCTCCATCTGCAAAACATCTTAGGCTGGGCTGACATGTGGACATGGTTTGACTTACATGGTAGCCTCCAGTGGAAACTTAATCATTCTTCTAGCATGTTATGAAAACCAGGGTGTATTATATAATAGCATTAGTACTTAGACTTATATACCACTTCACAGAGCTTTACAGCCACTTTACAGATTCAGCACATTGGCCCCAACCATCTGGGTCCTCATTTTACCAACCTCAGAAGGATGGATTACTACCAACCTGCCTTCCATTTGAGGACCTGTATACTGCACGAGTCAAAAAGGGCTGTCCTTGTGTTTATAATATTTACAGATCCCTCACATCCTGGATATAAACTGTTTCAACTCCTACCCTCAAAACAAAGCTATAGAGCCCTGCACACCGGAACAACTAGACACAAGGAGAAGTTTTTCCCGAATGCCATTACTCTGCTAAACAAATAATTCCCTCAACACTGTCCAACTATTTACAAAGTCTGCACTACTATTACTATTACTGTTAATCTTCTCATCACTCCGTATCACCTCTCACCTCCCACTTGTGACTGTATGACTGTAACTGTCACTCGTATCCTTACAATCTATATCGACTGTTTCCTAGTATGACTTGATTGCTTATTGTACCCTATGACTATTATTTAGTGTTGTACCTGATGATTCTTGACTCTTGATGAAGGTATCTTTTCTTTTATGTACACTGAGAGCATTTGCACCAAGACAAATTCCTTGTGTGTCCAATCACACTTGGCCAATAAAGAACTTCTATTCTATTCTATTCTATTCTATTCTATTCCATTCTATTCCGTTTCACTCCGCTCCACTCCACTCCACTCCACTCTACTCCTCTCCACTCTATTCTATTCTATGGAAAGCTGAATCAACTATAATAGATAGTCCTCAACTTACAACAGTTCATTTAGTGAGTGCTCAAAGTTCCAGCAGTACTGAAAAAAGCAACTTATGATAATTTTTTCACACTTACAACTGCTGCAGCATCGCATGGCCATGTGATCAAAATTCAGACGCTCCTATTTATGATGGTCCTGGGATCCTGTGGCCCTCATTTGCAATCTTCGGTCAAGCAAAGTCAATGGAGAAGCCAGACTTGCTTAACGACCGTGTTACTACTGCAATGATTCACTTAACAACTGCGGCAAGAAAGGTAGCAAAATGGGATAACCTCACTTCACCAATGTCTCACTTAGCAACATAATGTTGGACTTTGTTGTGGTTGTACGTTGATGACCACCTATAAAAGATGTTTGTGTCATTTCTACATAACATCTAAATTCCCTTCACCTAGTTTTATCCAGAACGCTATGCCGACCCAATTATGCATCCAAAGTCAGCAAAAACAGAATAATCAAATCTTACAATCCCATGTCTAGAAACCACCACACATGATTCCTCCCCCACCACATCTAATCTAGTTTATATCTATTCACCAAGGGCAGAAAAAACCCTTTTCTTCAATTCTATTGTCCTGAAAAAAACTTTAGCCCTTTTATTCAGAGGGGGGGGGGGGCTTAAGAGGGCTTTTATGCCCGTCCACACACAACAGTGAATGCAACACCTTTAAAAAAGAAAAAAAAAATGGCTGGAGCGGCCAGACTGCGGTGGGCTGAAACGAGAGGACCGAATTGGGAACTACGGAGCCAGGACGGTTTGCAAGATCCCTGCAACCGCACCGCTGAATGCTTTGAATTGGCAAGATTCCCTTATCAACTCCCGGGGGGCGAAGAGATCCGCCTTCCAAGGCCCGCTTTGATGCCAAGATGCCCGGCGAGAACCTTCTGTGCCACCTTTGGCCCTTCCTGAAAAGCTGGAAACTCGCGCCTTGCCTTTAACCCCAGCAGATCCGTCTCCCGATCCCTTTCCCGTCTCTCCCCCCCCGCCCCGAGGGGATCCCCTCCTTCGCTCTCCAGGTCGATCCCCGCCCCTCCCGCTCCTGCTGACCCCTCCTCTTTTCTCTCGCCCTTCGGGACTCCCCCCCCCCCCCCCCCCCCCCCCCCCCCGGGGGCCCCCTCTGGGGGGGGGGGGGGGGGCCCCCCCCCCGCGGGGGGGGGGGAGCCCCGCCCCGCGGGGGCCTGGAGGGGGGGGGGGAAGCAAGGGGCCTCCTTCTCTCCACCCCGCCCCTCCTGCCCCCGCCCCGCCGCGCCGCTAGTGAACTAAGCCGCGGGGAGATGCGCGGCCAGAGTCTTCGGCCCGGGCCCCGGCGGTGGCGGCCGCAGCAAGAGCAGCAAGTCGGTCGCCCGGAGCCGCAACAGCCAGGCCAGGCGGAGCGAGCGGCCGGCCGCGGGCTGCTGCAGCAGCAACAGCAGCAGCAGCAGCAGCCAGGCGAGCCACGGCAGCACTAGCCCCAGCGAAGGAGGCGGAGCGGAGGCGGAGGCGTCCGAACAAAGCCCGCTTCCCCGGCACGGCGGCGGCGGGAGGAGGCGGAGCAGCAGCAGCAGCAGCGCCCCTATGGCCGCGGCGCTTTCGCCCGCCAGCCTGCCTTGCCCTTCCCCGCCGGGGAAGCTCAGCTAGGGAGAGCGAGAGAGCGAGCCAGCCGGGGCCGGGGAAAAGCAGCCTGCCCCGGAGCGCTGGGCGCTCTCGGGTCAGGGCCGAGGCCCGGGACGGGGAGAAGGAGGTGCAGCAGCAGCAGCAGGAGGAGGAGGAGGAGCAGGAGGATCCACCGTCCCGGCTCAGTTGGGGAGGGGGGGAACTAGAAGGGGGTGAGGCGGCCAGGAAGCCATTGCCGGGGGTCGCCCGAAGCACAAAGGAGGAGGAGGGGGCGGCCGGCCGGCCGGAGGGCGAACGCGGGCCTGGCCTCGCCCGCAGCCGGGAGGAACTTGCGGAGGAAACGGGCGCCGGAGGGGAAAGAAACGGCTCGAGAGGCGGCCGGGTGGAGGGGGGCGGAGTGGTCCGTCCGGGGAGCCAGTTAGCTAGCTAGCTGGGCTAGAGGCGGCTCCGAGCCGGCGGGGCGAGCCCGAGCTGAAGGGGGGGCGGGGGGGGGGCTTGCGCCTTGTCTTTGGGGAGCCCCCCGGGCGCGCTGAGCAAGGGGGTGGGGAATGGCTGGCAGAAGCCGCCGCTCCTGGCTCAGCGTCTTGCTCGGTCTGGTGCTGGGCTTCACGCTGGCTTCCCGGCTCATCCTGCCCCGCGCTTCGGAGCTGAAGAACGTGGGACATCGGCGCCGCGCCAGCCTGGACGGCTGCAAGAGGCGAGGGGGAGGCGGCGGCGGCTTGTTGCTGCTGCCCAACCGGGACTCCCGAGGGGCTCTGCTCTGGCACCCGGACCCTGCCCAGCCTCGGGGCGAGAGCTCGCCGGCTAAGAACTTCCTCTTCGTCGGGGTCATGACGGCCCAGAAATACCTGGAGACCCGAGCCGTGGCAGCCTACAGGTGAGACCCTTCCCCCCCACACACACACACCCCCGCGCCGCATCACCTGGACCCGACCCTGGAAATGGGGGGTGGTGGGTGGGCGGGTAAGGTTTGGGTGGGGGTGGGTCTCCCGAACTGAATGCCAAGAAGGGAGGCCTCCTGCCCTGTTTATTCAGACCTCCTTCCCCTCCTCTTGTTCTTTATTCCTCTCCCCCGTTTGCAAGCCGTCTTTGGGATCCCCAAAAGAATCATAGGTACCATTGTAAGGCATCCTTTCCTTCCTGGCTTCAGGTGCATCCAGGAGTTCAATGCACAAAGGGACTCTCTTAAGAAAATGTGGGCTTGCATTAAGGGGGATTTTGAATCCCCCCACCCCTTCAAGCCTATCTTGCAAGTTTCAAGCGGGCTGTGCCCATGCCTGCTTTTCTGCAAACCTATTAAGCCGGAAGGCAATAATCCGATCTTCTTGAGACTCTTAAGAATAGTCTGTCTTTACAGCTGGGTTTTATGCTCAGCGCTGCTCTACGGTTTTTCAGTGGCCCCGAAATAAAAGGGAGAACTTCCTCTCTACATAATTTATTTGAGTCTGTAGTTGATCCTTTAACAGGAGAGGGGAAAATTGTTACTTCCCCGACTATATGGACTTAAATGCCAAGAATAAGAAACCCTTTGGGTTCCAAACTTGGAAACCCAAGAGATTTTAAACAAAAGGCATGTGCATGGCTATGTGGATACTCACAGTTTCAGACTCCCGCCCCACCCCAAAAGTGTGAAGTTTTTGTGTGGCCCGATGAATACATCCTTTGGCTCTGGTTTGACTGGGTCCCTTCTTGTTGCCCGCCAGCCCCAGCGAACTAGAGTTGGTCTGCATTTAAGACATTGCACCAAGAGAATAACGGAACAGTTTTATGTGGGAAGTGATGAAACTGGCTAGACACACAATATAACCTGGGAGGAGAAAGAAAGGGGCGGGTGGGAGAAACCGGTCTGCTTTTAATGGTTCTTCTGGCCAAAACCAGTGTTAGTAATTAGTTCAGGGCCTTGCCATTCTCGTTTTAAGTTGCGTTCTCTTTCTCTTAAGGGAAAAGAAATAGTTCATTTCATTTTGCAGGGAGAGAGAGGGCTCAGTTTCCTGAGGATATTATATATCAGCTTTTGGCTGCTTGTTGCACTCTAGAGAGGTACATATGATTGGATTGGGAGAAGCTGGAGAGTTCCAAATCCATTTCCCAACCCAAAGCTGCAGGAGATGGCGGTCCTATACCTACGACAGCCCCCCAGCTCTGTCTGGATGTTCTCCAAATGTGTAGCTTTCAAATCCCAGTTTCTGCATCTGGAATGTCTCTTGAAGAAGATTCTGGGAGTAGTCCTTCCCAGATCGAGATAGGGAAGGCTGTCCTGCAGCATTGTTTCATAAAATTGATTTTTAAAAAAGTCAACTGCCTTTATAGTTAGAACAGTTTTAAAAGAGAAGACTTGGTATTCACCAGATCTATTCCACCACCCTGAATTTCAAAGGTATTAGAACAGAACAGAACTAGAAAGGACCTTGGAGATCTTCTAGTCCAGCCTCCTGCTTTAGCAGGAGACCCTATACCATTCTATATGGGTGGCTGTCCAGTCAACCTCCAGCAATAAAGCACCTACAACTTCTGGGGGCGAGCTGTTCCACTGATTAATTATTCTCACTGTTAGGAAATGTCTCCTTAATTCCAGGTTGCTTCTCTCCTTGATTAGTTGATCAGTTAGTTGATTGATCCCTTGTTTCTTGTCCTGCCTTCTGGTGCTTTGGAAAATAATTTGACCCCCTCTTCTTAGTGGCAGCCCCTCAATTATTGGAATACTGCTATCATGTTGCCCCTAATCCTTCTTTTATCTAGACTGGCCAAACCCAAATCCTGCAACTGTTCTTCATATATTTTAGGCTCCAGGCCTTTGATGGAGAATTTCAGGCTGGAGAAGACTTCCTTAAAGGGGTCCTATAATCAGAGGCTGTCTCAATAGTATCAGCGATGATGGGCAGATATGTCCTTTGCACCAATGATGCCTATAATCCCTATACTAGTTAGAGGAATGGTGATTTTTTTTCTATTTGTGGAGACAAAGCAGAGATCACGCAGGAATTCTGTAAGTAGGAGCCTTCTCTTAGTAACTCATAATTTTTTTCTAGCCTGAAGTTTGTCTTAAATTTTTTCCCCCCTTGGTTGAATCAAAGCTGGAGAATTAGCTGCTGCTTATGGTGAAAAAAGCAATGCTTTGAACAAGAACATGAGTTTTGGGAACTGATCTTCACTGCTCAGTTTTCTCCAGAACAACCAAGCAGTTGTCTCTATTACTATTAAAGCTTATCATCTTTATGGAAAAGTGATCTTGAGATAAACGGAGTAGAGTAGAACAGAACAGAACAGAATAGTTGGAAGGGACCTTTGAGGTCTTCTAGTCCAACCCCCTGCTTAGGTAGGAAACCTTATACCACTTTGGATAAATGGTTATCCAATCTCTTCTTAAAAGCCTCCAGTGTTGGAGCATTCACAACTTCTGGAGGCAAACTTGTTCCACTGATCAATTGTTCTTAACTCTCAGGAAATTTCTCCATAGTCCTAGGTTGCTTCTCTCCTTGATTAGTTTCCACCTATTGCTTCTTCTCCTGCCTTCAGGTGTTTTGGAGTGGAGGTCCACAGTTTGAAGACGCCTTGTTCAAACCTTGTGTTACTTCTCCAAATTACTTTGGTGGCATCCCTGTGGTGTCCTTGCGCTCCACGAAGTTCCGAGCAACTAATGTTCATGTACTGAATTGTAATTTATGGTGAGAACTATGGCATGAGCAAATTTGTAATTGAAACCAGCCTATTCATTCCCCCCCCCCCCCCCGCTTTTAACAGAGTGAAAGCTTTTAACAGAAATTGGGAAATCACTGGTCTCTTTTTCTCAACCCCCACTCACCCACCCTGAAAAAGAAAAGAGAGGGTTGATAGGGACCTCTTTTGCATTTTGATCGGGGACTTTTAAATGCTTCCCGAGCAAATACATAAGCAGAGCATTGACGACGTATATACTGGAAGACAAGGGGACCTTGTTAATGTCAGCCTATCTATCGAGCGCTCCCTTGGGATTGTTGGAAACGGTCATTTGGCAGCAAACCAGGACCTCACTCTCTGGTCCGCTCTAACAAAAAAACAGTTCTTGTAGGTTATAGGATCTCTCTTTCCCTCTCTCTCTTCTTTTTTTTTTTTTTTCATTTCAGCTGCTTAGGTTTTTCCCTCCAGAGGGAAACTTTGTCAGTGGAGATTTGAATCTGAGATAGTCTGCATACAGAATAACTGTATGCTAGGATCAAACCGTGGTTGGTTTAGCGGCTCAGCAGGTTGCATAAAACCCGCTGCTGTGGCTGGTAAAACAGGATTTGAGGCTAGCATGTTGGGTAAACTGGTTGTATTTTAGCTAGTAAATGATAGTGAATCAGATCCTACAGTAATGTCTAACTCATACCACTAATTTACTGCTAACCAGGAAGCCTTTTTCCATCTAGCTGGTAACTAAAAATGGTCTTTGTTCTTCACCTGTCTGCAGAATGCTCTGCCCTCTGCCTCTCTTTGTCTGTCTGTCTGTCTGTCTATCTACAGTATCTATCATCTATCTATTATCTATCATTTTATATCTATCTATATATCTAGCTAGCTAGCTATCTACCCGGTTTCCCTGAAAATACAACCTACCCTGAAAGTAAGTCCTACCTTGATTTTTATATGTGTGCCCAATATAAGCCCTACCCCGCAAATAAGCCTTAATTAAGATTCCGCCCACTCCAGAGTGCATGGGTAAAAATCATCTGAACATGTTTCTGCTCTCTTGTGACGTTCAAATATAAAATGGTTTAAGGCAGGACATGGTGGCCATCCCTAGGATGGTTCATCTGTATCGCTGTCCCTTTTGGGTGCTCCACAATGTGAGAAGGATGCGATTTCCTTCAAGGGAGCAAGCTGGAATTAAGAAATCCAGGGACAAATAACTCTAATTACTGGTATGCTTTTGGAAGGGCTATTATTACATGTGGGTCATAAGATGATACCTTCTGCAATGGGGTACCGTTCACCAAATACTGCAGCATTTGTTGTTCCAGCTAGATTCTCTCTTAATTTAAAGCCATTTTGCCTCTCAATGAGACTCTATGGGTAGTATAAATATGAATGTCTCCCTCCCCCTCCAAGATCTGGGCCACCCAAGACCTGGTATCCCAGAGGCAATTCTGTATCACTTTAATACTTTCCTCTTAGCTTGTTTACATAATCAGAACTCTGTATCCTTTCTGAAGTAGAGCATGGTTCTGTTTTTGGTCACTTAAATACTAAGAAACCTGATGGAGAGATAACACTGTTGCTGAAGATTCAGTAAGGGCAATGAGAAAGCAATTTTTTTTAAAAAAAAATAAGAACTTCAGAATATGAGTTTAACTAATTTGTATTTATATAGACCACCAAGGGCATTATTAACTTTGACATGGTACCAAGGCCCTCTTCCAAACTCGCATTCTTCAGAAATGTTGGATTACAAATCCCATCAAGAGATTCAGTGGCTCAGGAATGGTGGAGTCCACTATGCAATGTATCTGGAAGACACCAAGGTTGGTTTATGGTTTGGTTTGTGGCACAGTGGTTAGTATGCAGTATTGTAGGCTGACTCTGCCCACCGCCAGCAATTCGATCCAGACTGGCTGAAGGTTGACTCAACCTTCCATCCTTTCGAGATGGGTAAAACGAGGACCCAAAACTGTTGGGGGCAATATGCTAACATTTGTAAACTGCTTAGAGAAGGCTGTAAAAGCTCTGTGAATAGCACTGAGTGCTATTGCTATTTTCCTTCCTTCCTTCCTTCCTTCCTTCCTTCCTTCCTTCCTTCCTTCCTTCCTTCCTTCCTTCCTTCCTTCCTTCCTGTTAGAATGCAGAATTGAAAGCAAACTCTGCCCACAGTCAGGAGTTTGATCCTGATTGGCTCTAGGTTGACTCAGCCTTCCATCCTTC